TGCAGTGAAGAGCACTCGGTTCTGCACAAACCCCCACCTGGAGACCGAGAGATTTCCAGTTACAACAGCCCTAGGGTCCTTGCTGGGCGCTATTGGCTTTGAGGGACCACGAGCGCATCCTTCCCGGTGGGACGGGGCTGTCCCGGCACTCACTTGCTGGGGAGGTTGGTTTTAACGCTGATCAGAGCGATGTGGCAGTTCTCCGAGCTGAAGCGGGGGGTGCCCAGCGCATCCTGAGCCAGCCTGCCCTGCGCGGTCAGGTTTGCTGCCGGCTTGATTTCCATGTAGCTTCCCATAAAACTGCACAGAACAAACCAGGATAACACAGGATAAACCCCGGGGGTCCCTGGGGACCCACTGCCTGCATGGTGGAACCAGAGGCACCACGGTGCCGTGCTCGAGCTCCCAGAAACACTGGGAAAATCAAGTGGGCTTTGGGCATCGGTCACATCCATTTGTCTCTCCCTCTGCACCGGGACCCTGCTCACCTCTTCCCACAGATGGTCATCCGCACTAGCACGGCCATGAAGAGCCCCGTCCCCTGGCAGAACCCCAGCCTTATCTCGGGGGGCTGGATATCTTTCACTTTCACCCTGGAGAAGGGAGGGAAAAGAGAGAAAGAGCAAGGAAAGAGGTGCTATTAGAACAGCTAAGCCTGACCTTTTAAATCAAAGCCACCCATTACGATATTGCACTTATCATCTTTCTCCTTTCGCCTTTTGGTTAAGCTTTTTTTCTTCCTATTCAGATCCATTTTAAAATTTGAAAGTAGGCTTCTTCATAAGACTGAAGAGACTGCAATGTTTAATTTAAAAGGAAAAATGAAAATAACATTTTGGTATTTAAAACTTCTCCATTCTTTTGTCCAAAACTATTCAGAGATGGCTCAAATCCTCCAGAAATTCTGGGTGTCCCTTAGGATATTGTGCCCAAAAACCTGGAGCAACGCATTGCTGAGAGCAGAGCTCCCCGCGGACCCTGGGGAGACACAGCAGCGATCTCCAGCCAGCTTTGAGCCGGCTGACACGCTTTGTTGCCTTTAAGTTATCGTTCCTCCATGTATTTGCAGACACAGCCATGCAGAAAATCACCAGCTTTAATATCACACTTGTTAGTGGGGAGTGATTTGTTTCTGCCTCCAGGCTGCCGCTTCTCAACCTCCTGCTTTTATTTTGCAATTTCCAGCCCCCAGTGTAACGTGCCGATTATAACTCACCCTGAGATACCTTTGATGAGTTTGGTGTTTGACTTTTTTGTTGTTGCTTCCTCTGCCATTTTCTGAAGAACATCACTCTCAGCCAGCGCAGTGGAGATCGCTGGTGTGTTTCCACAGGGTAAAAAAAACAAATTTAGCACAAAACGCGCATCTGCCAGCACTGTGCTGGAGGGTGAGGGAGCTCTGAACCACCCGTCACACCCTTTAAATCATCCCCATGCCACGAAACGAGGGCTCAGGTCTGTGTAAAGACACTGGTCACACAGAAGGGGACGATGGCCCCCGTGCTGTGACAGGGCTGGTGCTGCCCCTGCGGCTTGTTGCGCCCCGGGGACCAACGCCAGCGCCGCTCTCCTCTCACCATGGTCAATAGTGCCGATGTCGATCCGGAGGACAGCGCCCGGGTTATCAGCCCCTCGCGACGGTGCCAAGCCGGCACCGAGCAGCACAAGGCAGCAGAGCCTCCACATCTTCAGAGCCTGAGCGCACAGGCACTTAAACCAACAGAAAGAGATGATTAGCAGGAGGGAATTCCCTAAGAGGGAGTATGGAAGGGTGAGGGCTACGTTCTGCAGTGGCACCAAAGGAAACGGAACAGGGTCCGTGCGAGGCAGCAGGGCTGCACCAGCCAAATCAGACGGGGACCTGGCCGGCGCCCCAGGCACCAGCACGGTGCCACGGTGCCAGCAGTGACATTGGACACACACGTCCCAGCCACCACCTGCCTCAAAGCCTGCGGATCCGGCTCCCTATGGCCTCAGGCCCCTCATCCTAATGGCACAAGCCGCAGCCCTTCAGCAAGGGCAGCTCCGCAAGGAAACGCACCGTGGTCACCGCGCCAGGTCTCCCTGCAGGAGCCTTCCCAAAGGCTGCCCACACTGGCACCAGCCTCCTGAGGACAGGTGAGAAACAGCCTATATATATGAAAATCCTGCCCGAAAGAGGGAGAAAAATTGAAGGATTAAAGGGTTGAGTAATTACTCTGATTTAAAACTAATCCCTGTGTTTCCGACATCTTCCAACATAAATAATTTCACTAATAAATTTGAAAGTCTGGCTAAGGTCTCGAGCCTCAGGTATCAAGTGAATGTTCTTAGCATGCATGAAGCCAACTCTCTTGCTCAACACCCAGGAAGAGCCACCTGGAGCTCTGCACGTTCAGTCTGAAAAAGAAAAAAATGATCCATTTAACAACATAGTGGAGATAGGAACATGGGGGTTAGTTCTGGGACACAGACTTAAGGGTGCTTCTCACCCGGTTTGGTGGCTCACGCACCTCCCCAGGCAAAGGCTCCTGCAGCTGATGCAGTGAGAGCGGCCGAGGGCTCAGCCCATCGCTCAGTGGAAGCCGAGAACGGCCCCAATATTCCTGCCAATCCCAGCAGGGTTGGAATGAGGCTGCCAAGAACTATCACCTGCCCGCGCCGCCATCACGCGCCATCTCGCAGCACCGAGCCATTTATTCCTTCCCTTCATTTCTATATAAAGACTGTCATGAGGCTTAATCTGTCATTAGCCTCCTCTTAGCAAAGAGTCATCAGTATATCACTAAGTAGAGACAAGAAGGTTTGCATCTTATCTAAGAGGAAAGTAAGATTTATAGACAACTCCCATTTAAGAGCCCATCAGGCCAGAAAGACACTTTTGTGCTGGTAACTTGATCAGTCATTAGGCTATGAGCTGACATGTAATTAAACCTCCGCTGGGATTGCCAGGTACAAAACAGCTCTTCAGGAGAAGAAAATCCATGTCTAAGCACCACGGCGCCTTCCTTTCCCTTCAGTTTATCCCTAGACTCCTGTGCTGCTGTAAATGATAAGAGTGATTCACAGATAAATCTCCAGTGCTGCTTGGGAAAGAGCTACCGGTATTACCTCCACTGGCATGAGCTTTAACAGGGAGGCAATTTCCAATCACTGCTCTACAAAACAGCAAAGACTTATTTCTCAGAGATGTTTGTAAGTCCTGTACACGTCCCTGTCAATGTAACATGCCTGAAATGCCTCTCCAAACCGCAGGCAACTTCTCTGCCGTTTACAATCTTTCCAATGGATTTGTTTTTCTGAACACTGTTGTTGCCTCTAAATGGGCTGCATACATTGGTATTAGAGTGTAAATTCTGCTCTGTCCCTTATAGGCTTTTGGATCTCCAGCTTGGTATTTTCTCCTGACACAGCTGTTTGGATACTTCCAATGGAAATCCACAAGGCTGGAACTCAGCCTTTCTTCTTGGCATCTCTCTGTTCTAGTGAGAAGTAAAGCCCCAAATAGCTAGTGAGAACCAAAGGCTTCTCCGAACGTGTCAAGATGCACCTGGAACCAGAGCCTAATAAGTCACGTAGGCAGCGCACAAAGGACAATAGCCCAGGCAGGGCAGGTGTATCAACAAGTGCTGAACAGGATGTCCTATGGGCAAAGGATTCAGACAAAAATGGGCAATTTAACCCTTTCTGGAAGACTGACCATGCCTCAAAGTAGGCATCACACCTATCAGGAAAAGAGAAATTCGGAATAACAGCAAGGAGAGGTGCATGAGACCAGGGCATGCACTTTCAGGGCGTTTTGGCAGCCTGCGCTCCGTTTTCCAAGCCACAAGGAAGCCAGGAGAATGTGCGTGCCCAACTAGCAAGGGCAGCACTGAGCAGGGCCCAGGGCAGCGGGGTGACAACAGCCGGTGCAACCGGGTCACCGTGTTAGTGCAGATGAGAGACAGCGGGTCCAACCCATGGGAGCGGGGCTGAGCTCAACGCGACCGCGCTGCCCCTGCGCCCGCGGCCTCGACGCTGCTCCACGGCGTCCGGAGGAACCGCGGCCGCAGCGCAGAGCCCAGCGCTCGCTTTCCATCAATGTTTGATTTCCTGGCATCCTCCGTGCAGAGACCTTTCTTTGCGCAGCTTGAAAACTTCACAATAAAAGGCAACCTGCCCCAACACCTGCTGCTCAATATTTCACCTTGTTAGGTCAATGGCCAATGTAATCAAACATACGGAGAAACAATAAAAATGCTATATAAAACAAAGTGTCTGCACCCAAAGTAGCCTCCTCTTTGCCAATTTCTGCTTTCATCAACCTGGGTTATGAAGATATATAAAGTACGCATGATCCCTTCATGAGGCCACAGCAAGACACAGGCTAGGAGGAATGGGAAGAGTGGCCAGAAAAGGTAAAGATGCAATTATAAAATGAATAGATAGAGCTAAGAATTGCTTGTATTCCTTTTGATATAGCTCTGTAAGTTCTTGTCTCTGCAAAGATTAATACAAATACAATTTTTTTTTACTCAGGTTAAGTCTTCCAAATTATTTTCTTAACATTGTAAGAGCCCTATAAGCAATTCCACAATGTTTTCAGAAGGGTAGAGGACATACTCGCTTTTTAATTTTGTTTTAGCCTCCTCCATAACTTCAATTTTCTTATTCAACAAAATCTTGCTTATTTACTAGTGTTTCTATCAGCTGTAGGTCACGATGCATTCTCCATTGGGTGCAATACTGCCACGAGCGCCCCTGCAGCTCATACACTCACAGGAGGTTTTCAAGGCTGAGCTTTCTTTTTGTATCTTCAATTCTCAGGAACTAGGCGAGACTCATGCATTTTATTTATTTATTTATTGAAAACAGAAACTGAAAAGAAAAGGCAGCTCAGGCTGAGGCGGAGCAGGGGATCCATCTCCCTGCTCGAGGGAAGGCTCCGCACCACAAGCCGGGGCTGGGACCTGGGGCTGGTCCCTCCTGCCTCTCCGTGCGGATCCTGACCCGGCTGCCGCGTGTGTCCTCCAGGCACCATGGGCAGGACCTGCGCCCTGGGCATCGCCCTGAGCCTCCTGGCAGCAGCGCTGGCCACCAAGGCGCCCGACTGCGGTGGGATCCTCAGCCCGTCGGGGCTCAGCTACCGTGAGTACCGACTCGCCAGGCGCAGGGGCGGGCGCTTCTCGCAGGCACGCAATGAAATGCCTCACCGAATGCCTTGGACTCACTGCCACCATTAATTCATGCCCTTTACCAACTAATTCTCATTATCCTCTTTCTATAGCTAGCAGCAGTAGGATTTATAGGAGAAAGAAATGTGTCACCTGGACAGATCCCAGCCCTTGCTCTGTCCGAGAGACCACCCGTTCCAGAAGGTCTAATGGGTTATCTGCTCTATTGCAGTGGCTGAGGTTTCAAAGCAGCACGCGGAGACCATCCTCGCGCAGGACCTGATGGCCCCGAGAGTCTCGGACCTGCTCCTCGGCTCCCCCAAGCCCACCCGGTGAGTCCCCAGCTCTGCTCAATGATGAAAACAATGATGTTTTCCCCCACGCGCTGCTGCTCTGACCAGCACTGCCAAAGGCATCGCCCAGCAGGGGCAAAAGTCCTCACGGGCGTCAATACGTCTCTCTAAATATAAAGCACCAGTTTAGAGCAGTGATGTTCCATGTTCTCACCAAGCGCACTGGGCTCGAGAGGCGCATCTGGGGCTCCCCTCTTTAGGCAACGGGATGCACAAATTTCATTGTAGCTGTTGCAGCTTGAGCCACTAAACCAAGCAGAGAAGCAGCACAAAAAGTGCCTAGATTTGGAAAATACATGGCTCTAAAATAGAGAAGGTGAAAACGCAAGTGAGTGGCCAGCAGGACAAGTGCTGTTAGCAGGAAAACAAATTCAGCTCCATCTTCTTTTGCATTCCCAGGAGCAGTGCACAGGACGTGCCTGCTGCGGGGATTTATAACCTGTTTTTTCAGGCAAGGGCCTGGATTAGCCTCCAGAACCAACCGGTCCCTGTAACCCCGTACCCAGACCCGCGCATCCCATATCCCACCTTGCTGCTACCGGCGCCAGCAGAGAGGCTTTGGAGACAGGACTAGGGACCCCCGGGGCAGGTCTCCTAACACCTTCGCTTCTGCTCCATCAGGAACCAAATCGACTCTGTCAAAGTTGCTGACCTGTCGCTGTCGCTCATCCCCGACGCGGGGCTGCGGCTGAACATCGACGCAGATCTTGGCATCGTGACCGCCCCGTGAGTACCGGCACGGGCATCGCGGGTGGACGGGCTCACTGGCAGCTGCCCCATCACTGCAGAGCCAAGCTCTGCTCTATGACGGAACCGAGCCCAGGGAGCGGAGCCCGCTCGTGGGAGCAGGCAGCTCTGCAATGAGCAGTCCCGGCGCTCCGGTCCATCCGCGTCTCCTCTCTTGGCGCAGCTCCACTTCCAAGGTGGTGAGACTGTCCATCATGGCAGACCTCCATGTGGAAAGGAATCCTGAAGGGAACCTGGAGCTGATCACATCAGCCTGCAAGCCCACCATGGAGGAGATGCAGAGCACCGAGGAGGTGGAAAGGTTGACTCCACATGTCCTCGTTCAGGGATGTGGGCAGGTCTGGGGTCTGGAAAACAGGGCAAAAGAAGTAACTGAGTGATAAACGTTCTTACACGTGAAGGTGATGTGTCTACTGAGCCACCAATGGCCCAATAGCTTATAAAGATTAACACAAAACCTTTATCTTCACAAGAGAAACTTCATTCTACTCCATTTGTTTTTTTTAATACTATTCTAAAAGTTTTGTTTTCTAATAAGCAAGCAGATCTTTTTCAGTACTGCAGCACGAACACTTAGTGCAGGTTCAGTGATGGTTCTGCAGTGTGTTAGGGCTCTGAGCTGTTATCATACTTTGGTATGTTATAGGACATAAACAGAATAATGTCTAGGGCACTTGCTAGGTCACACCAAGATACGGCTGGTCACCTGGCTGAGCACAGCCTCAACTAACAGCTCCTGTTTTGTTATTTCCATCCAGCAAGTCTCCCAGTTTGGAGGTGGACAAGGAGCTCGATGTCAGTAGGGTAAGTGAAGTCTGCAGAGATCGAATATAACAGAGTTGCACAGTTGCACTTATGTTAGTGAGGCTGGTGCTTATGAAACCTGGCCTTGCTCAAAGCAAGGACAGGCCAAGGCTGAAGACCGTAGCACTCTCACGGCTCCTCTGCAAGCAGATGTGAGCTGTGGGAGCAGAGCCACGCACAGCGGGAAGGCCAGCAGCACGGCGGGTCTTGCCGGCGTCCCATGCCCCATCCCCAGCTTCTCCACCGCCTCTCACGTTGCTTTGCTCCCCGGTCCGCAGACCTGCGTGGCGCCCTCCACGCGCCTCGCGCGGACC